GGGGGGGGGTGAGGGCTGGCGGCTTCCCTCTCCCCAGGAAGCAGGAGTGAGAAGGGGGAGAGGCGAGGGTCACGATCATCCCTCCTGTGCCTTGGTGCCATAGAGCTGGCTCCCAAACTCCGCCACCTGCTCTCAAGGCCGGTGTTGGATATAACCCAGCAAGGGTGGTGGGAGCAGAGTGTCCCCAGACACTGAGGAGACAGCTGGCCCATCTCGGTGGCCCTGGGGTGGTGTGTGGCCTGTCCTGTGTGATGGGTCAGCAGCTGGTCTTAGCCATGGGGCCTGAAAAGGACACAGCCCAGTGTGAGGCACAGTCCCTGGCCTGGCACGTGGGATCACTATCTAAAGACTTCTTGGGAACACACGGGACTGGGGTGGCATCTTCATCTTACTTGGCTTCATTTTCATGGGTCTTTCTTGTAGTCAGTTATAGATGCTTCAGGAGAAAAGATATAAAGGTTTTATGAGGAGCAGGTGAGGAAATTGGGGGTGTTCAGCCTGGAGAAAAGGAGGCTGAGGGGAGACCTTAATCTTTCTCTGCAACTGCCTGAAAAGAGGGTGTAGCCTGGGGGGGTTGGTCTCTTCTCCCAAGGAACAGGCGATGGGACAAGAGGAAACGGCCTCAAGTTGCACCAGGCGAGGTTTAGGATGGATATTAGGAAAATTTGTTCACCGAAAGGGTTGTCAAGCCTTGGAACAGGCTGCCCGGGGAAGTGGTGGAGTCACCATCCGTGGAGGTGTTTAAAACACAAGCAGAGGTGGCACTGATGGACATGGTTTAGTAGCAGACTTGGCAGTGTTAGGTTAACAGTTGGACTTGATGATCTTGAGAGTCTTTTCAATCTAAACAATTATATGATTCTAAAACCCCTTCACGGAGACTAACTGCACGGTTTTGAGCCTGTTCTCTCAGCAGGCGGAGGAAGTTCCTAGAAAATTTGGGTTATTACAGAAAAGAAGTAGCAGTAACATTGGAATAACATGGCTTCGAGATGCCTACATCTAAAAATTTAAAATTCTCTCCTGAATCGCTGTTTCAGAACTGTGTGGTAATTTAAGAATTTAGTTTGTATTAATGTTAAGTCACATGTTATTCCTTAGTACTTCGTCTGAAAAGAAGAAATAAACACTAGTGGCAGCGGTACAGCAGATTGCCTCTCCTCCAGTCTGGGTATGCAGTAACAATGGAGACTTCCGATGAAGAAAACTTTGGTGTAGCCATGTAAGTATGCTACATTCTGTGTCAGATTTTCAATAAGCTGATTACTGGTTAAAATATCTTAATAGGAATATAATTTCACAGATTAATTTACGCTACAGTGATTACCACATTCTGCCTCTTGCAAGAACAAGGGTCCAGAAAAATGCAAAACTCCAGGAGGGGGTAATATCAGTTCAGAGTCTGGGTGAAGTCAAACCAAGTATAACTGCAATGAGCATAGCACCAGAGAGCCCTGGCTGAGTGATCAAAATAAACACTGTAAGGCTGACAACTGGGGGGTTTGTCTTCATTTTAAATTAAAAATTTTTCTCTTCTTTTTAAGAGCGTATGTTTTCTTCCATCACGGATTCTAAGAAGAGATAATATTTGAATGTGCTCCTAGACATGTGAGGCCTTGTACAGGTCAAATGAATTTTACTCTGGTAGATGCTAAGGCACTGCTTTGTTCCACATTTTCTGGCATACTCTTCTCCTAAAGCTTGTGGCAGAAGGTTCATGTCCCTCTGCCTATGTCACTCCATAGATTTAGTTCTTGCAATCTACAGACTATCACAAATGGCTAAATTGGATGTTTCTGATCGCCATTATCTCCCACACTAGCCAAAGACTAAAACAGAAATTGACTGTCAGGGCAATAGGTTGATTTTTTTTTTCCTTTCCTTCAGGACAAAATTTTCTATTTATTTCTCTTTCCAGTACTTGTAATTTGTATCAGATATGTCTTTATTGCTCATTGCTAATACAAGTGTGTATTAGGAATTGTTTTAACACTGGCCCTTGAGAAGGATGGGTTTGTGATGAAGGCAAGATTCAGGCATGCAGACTGCCAGGGCTTCTCCAGCAGCAGATGTTGGGCTGGCCTGGACTAGACATGATGAGGTGACGAGGACTTAAACCACAAGATCTGTGAGCATGTGTTTCTTCAGTTGTGCAGATGCAAGTGTGTTGTGTAGAGGGGTGGAATCGCTGCTATTTTGGAACAGTTAAAATTCCATGATTTGTCCCACAAGCTTCAACTGGGGTTTGAATTAATACTTTAAAATTTCTGTTGCTGTTAGAGGGAAAAAACAAAGGTAGAAATTATCCATAGCAAAGTCTCCTGTCTTTGCATGTACTTAGAAAGCCACAAGACCTCTTGCCTGAAGTCCCAAATGTGATGCTCTGGGTATGTAATGCTTCAGCTGACCCATGCCAGCTCCTCTCCTGGTGGTGTCCTGCCCTCTGGTGGAAGAGGTTTTCCAGTCTCTCGCCTTGGCTTTGCTCATCTCCTAAGGCTTAACAGATCAGAAATGTTGCTAGAACATCACTTGGGGATCGAACGCCCTTTTAAATCAAAGATCTTTACGTTTTTCCTGGTCAGAAGCCCTGGACCAGGGCTTTTTTCCCCTCATGTGTGAGAGAAGCTTGTCTTTCATCTGCTGAGAATACAGAGTTCATCCCCTACTACAGATGAACTCTGAATGCCAAGGCCAAGACAATCCTGTGGATTACTCTACTGTGTCTGATAAAGTGCATAATAATAGATTTAGCAGAGGGATCCAGAGTCCTGAAATGCTGGTACCAAAGGTTTCTTCCTTGGATGACTTGAGATCCATAATGGGGTTTAATAGTCATGATTGAATGCCCGTAGGAGATTATGCCATTTATTTGTAGCATGTAGGATGTATCTTGCATAAGAAAAATATTTATGTTTCTTATACAATACTTGTGATTACATTGAGTTTTAAGTGGTTCCACAAGACCAAATATTTCAAAATATTCTCTAGAGTGTCTAGAGTTCCTTAATCACCATGGCGAGTTACAGAGGGAAGAGAGCAGAAGAAAAACTTGTGGTAGCAGCCGGGATTTGTGGGTTGGAAAATGCTTAACTTGCTGTTCTAATTACACTCCTTACATCCTTCTGCACCAGGACTAGAATTACCTTGACAATAACGCCAGTACACAACATTTTTTTTTTTTCAATTAGGCACCTTACTGGGGGGGAAATACAGTAGAGGCCTGATGAGAATCCCCACAAAGCAGTCTTATCATCAGTGTCATGGATTATTTTATAGGTTGAAACTAGGAAATTATTAACTTATTTTGTAATTATTGGGCTTATTTGTGCTTGGGCTTTTGTTGACACTTTTAATTTTAACTTTCATTTCTGCTGTGGTTGAAATACATACTTATGCGGTACCATCTTTCTTTTGCTTTCAGCTCCTCCCCTTGTGAGGCAGAGTTTGATGCAGTTGTTGGGTATCTGGAGGATATCATAATGGGTAAGTACTTACAGACAACGAGATGGGTGCTAAGCATATTGCTGCTCATAAACAAGCTGCTCTTCTGTCAGCACACATACAGAGCCAAAGGAGCCCCTGCCTGCTTTGTAGAAGCTTTCTGTCCTTTGTTCCCCTGGCCCCTAACCTGGTAGTGCAATAAAATTATACACAAAAGTCTTTTGTGTGCTGTTTGAACAACAGGGTGCTTGTGAGCCTTGAAAATTATTCTCTGCGTCACTGCAGTACACTCCTTCATAAATAAACAGTAAAGACACTTGTAAATCTCACATAGAAATCAAAGCTGTCTGGAATTTTTGTGCCCTTTTATAAAGGGGATGGAGGAGACTGTGAGAGGCCACCTTCCCTTCCCAGCTCTGTCTGAACCTCTCCTCAGGTGTTTGTCAGGACGTTCTTAGGAGCTGCCGTGGTTTGTCCAGGCAACTTGCTGTAATGCCAGGCTGTTGCTGCTGCAGGCAGCCTGTTCCAATCTCCAATATAAGGTGCCTGTGCTATCATTTAAGCATGTTGTTCCCGGTCCTGTCTCTTCTGAACACTGCAAGACTCTCTTCTCACATTGCAAGACTGGAGATGGGAGTCAGCACGTCTTGCCATTTTTCACTTTGTAAGGCTGTCCTTCTGAGTTGATTTGTTGCCTGTAGCTTGCATGTATGTGTACAGCTGTAACGTGGCAAGACCTCTTCATAGCAGGAGTGTTGAACGGCACCAATCTCATTGTGTGAGCTCAGGCAGTAAAAGGTGCTAAATTCTCAGGACCGTCATTTGAACTGAGCAGTCAGCATGTGCAAGGAGCTAGTGTGCAAGGTGCCAAGACAGAATTCCTGCTGATTGGCCATCAGTTGCTTCATAAGAACAGCATATAAACTTTTTGACCACATCCTTTCCAGAGAGATGTAGATTCTGCAGCCTCAGCTTGCCTGGTGATGTACCTGAATCTGGAGAAATGCAGACTGAACTAATTTTGAATATGCTAGGGTTTAGAAAGCTGAGACTGGTGTATTTTAACACTGTGTTTAAGTAAAATTTATATTTTTACCTGTTCTGCTGAATTCAGTGGTGACCTGCTGTGTTCATTTTTATTCTGGTTTCCTTCCACAACTGGAAAAAAAATCTTCAGCAATTGTAAATGAACCTGAGAGTTTCACTAATATTTTTTAAATCAAGGGGGAAAAAAAGTTCGTTGGAATTCTTCTAGGGAAGAAGTAATCGCCTTTGCTGACTTGAGAGCCTGAGCAAACAGGGGTTCAGAATAAGTAACTTTGTGATGAAGCAGGAGGACTGCCAGCAGCCTCTGTCTCTCGCAGATGGGTCAGAAGTGGTGGCTCAGCGGCAGCTGTGCTGCTGGAGTGACTGACCCTGCACGTGTGCAGGGCTCCATGGCTACAGCAGGGAGAGGGAGGGCTAGTGAATGTGGGGTTTGTGTTACACAAAGAATGACTAAACTCCTAACTGTATGATGCATTTTGGTTGTGCTCCAGATGATGATTTCCAGTTAATACAGAGGACTTTTATGGAGAAGCACTACCAGGAGTTTGATGACTCGGAAGAAAACAAGCTCATCTATACTTCTATTTTTAATGAATATGTAAGATGCTTTTTCATATGTATTGCTTTTTTATTTTTATTAAGGCCAGTGTCAGGTCCTGGGTTTATATGGAGCAGAACCAACAAGCTGCCTGCTGTCTCTTTCTGAGGCACAGTCATGATCTGCGAGCAAGAAAAATGTTTTCTAGAGCTCTAAGTTCCTTTTTCTTTTCACCTGAAAATTTCTATAGGCGTTGTGGAAGTTGTGTTACTCTCTTGAATAGAAGTTTAGCCTATTGCTGTAGTAGAAAATAACATTTAACCTGTACATAACAAAGTTTGTTCTTCTCCAGTTGTATTATTTCATGTATTGGACACTTCAGTTACATTCTTCATGCAAAGCATAATTATGAAGTCATACCAGCCTCCTAGTAAATATCATTAAATGAGTTAAAAACAATTTGTTACTAGATACAAGTAGTGTTTGTCCTTGCCAATTCCCAGCAAAAATGTTCAGCTCCCTGCCTCAGCAGTGGTGTGATTGATCGAACTACATCTCCCCGCTAAAGGAATCTGCAGTCTGCCCCCTGAGGATAACACAAATTGTCAGTAAGGTGTCAGTGTAAGATGCACTATTTTGAAATCTGCTCCTGAGATTTGTTACGATGTTTTAGGGGTGGTTTGCTTGTTGTTTTTTTTTTCAGATCTCTTTAGTAGAGAAATACATCGAAGAAAAATTGCTTGATCGGATTCCTGGTTTCAATATGACTGCTTTCACAATGTCATTGCAGTAAGTCTCTGCTTCGCTTTTGGTTTGGGGGCAGCTTATGTGCCTCTCAATTAATTCTTTTTATCTAGATTAAAGCTTAGATTTGACAGTTCTCTCTTTAGAAAGAGCTTCCTCTTTAATTAAAAAAAAAAAAAAAGTGTTCATGCAGGCAATGCCTGACCGCTTTTCTTGCCTTCAGCACGTCCTTCTACTCTAAATTTCTAAACTGTCACACTGAAATATATTGGGGTTTAAGGGGTAGGAAGAGAAATCAGAGTGAGAACACTGGAGGGTTTTCATAATCATTATTGCTTTGAGGCCAGAACCTTAAAAGGTGAGGTCCCATTTATCTCTTCCAGGCTCTGTGTTGGACACTGGTTGTCTTTCAGGAGTTGTGTGATGAAATGCCTTTATTGCAGTTCTCATACAAAGCATTCAGGGAAGAGTTTGGTTTGTCTTAAGCTTTTGCATTTGTTCACTTTAGCTTAACCAGCTTCATGACAAGATCACTTTTGAAAGATCACTGGGCTTCACCTTGAAGAAGAAAATCAAGTGTAATTGGGAATTGAATATCTTAAAATAGTTGAATCAACGTAAATTTTAATTTTTTTTAATAAGACATTGGGAAATTACCATGAAGCACATAGTACACTTAGAAAATAGATTGTTCAAGGTAAAGCTCCTTTTGATGAGAATTAAATAATTAAAAAAAACAAACTTCAAAAGAACCCTTGACTGTTAAGAAAGCTTTGTTGAAATATGCCAATATGGAAGCACAGTCTCTTTTCCAAACTATTTTTGTCAAAAGTCCTTTACCAAGTACTCTGTACCCAAGTACAATTAGTGCAGTCCCGTTGTTAAGGGATGTGTGTGAGATTCTGTGCCTCTCCCCAGCTGTTCCCACCTTCCAGGGGACTGTCTCGCTGTTTCAGTGCTGAAGATATAAGTATATAGATAAGTGCTCATTGGATGTTAATTCTCTTGTCGTAAAGGTCAGTTTCTTTGTCTGGTTTTCAAGGATTGATGTGATACTTTTAGGTCTTAGATTTAGATAAATCTAATGTTAATGTACTTGGACGGGAAATACTGCAAGGTGGTGTTTGGCTAAAGTTTTGCTTTATGATAGACCTGTAATAACATTCTTGTTTAAATTTTGATATTGTTCTGCTTGTCCCAGTATCCTTTTTGACCTCATACAATTTTAAAATAAGAAATGTATTTCCCACACGATTTTCTAATTTCCCAACTTCTTCTCTCTACAGACAGCACAAAGATGAAATGGCAGGTGATATATTTGATATGCTTCTCACATTTACTGACTTCCTGGCTTTCAAAGAAATGTTTTTGGATTACAGAGCTGTAAGTATGTCACATCGTTTATTTGCATTGGCGTAATGGCTGTAGGTGTGATGTAGCTCTGCTTGAAAGTACCAAAGGCAGTGTTACTACAGCAGGTAGCAGTGTTTATTCAAAGGCTGTACAGGATCAAAAGGAAAATAACTTCACTTGAGTGGCTATTTCAGCTTGAAGTGCACATTTAATAATTCAAACCAAAACGAATAAAGCTGGCCTGTGGAGCAGTTCTTCAGAAACACATGATGTCTGCATCTTTGAATGTGATTTCCAGCTGAACACAGTGGAATAGTTTTTTACTGTGTGGGTGACTGAGCACTGGCACAGGTTGCCCAGAGAGGTTGTGGAGTCTCCATCCATGGAAATATTCAAAAGCCACCTGGACACGGTCCTGAGTGGCCCTTCTTGAGCCATGGGTTGGACCAGATGACTTCCAGAGATCGCTTCCCACCTTGACCATTCTGGGGTTCTGTGATTTGGAGGGGGTTGGGTTGGGTTGGGGTTTTTTTTCCCAGCCAATCCAAAATTAGCTTGTTGAGTTTATTCCATTTGTATTTCTCCTCTGTCCAGGCTGGAGACACAAAGAAAGAAAAATATTAAGGTTTTTGGATGAGCTTTTTCCTAGGGAAATGAAATACCCATAAATGCTCTCCAGTGTCTGTTCAGTCACATTTGATAAGGGAGTGAAAGAGTAAAAGTTGTTGTCAGAGTTATTCCCTCTGCTGCCTCCCCCCAGCCCCATAAGTGTTGTGAAAATGGGGCAGGTTGAGGGGAAGGAGACAGTCTGTCTCGGCAGCAGGCATAGCTTCGGTTGGGGTTTGCACCTTTGGGTCTCTGAAGAGGCAAACACAGAAGGTAGATGTCATTAGTTGCCCGCAGAAGGTAGATGTCACTAGTTGCTCGAGCTGGATGTTCTTGACCAGCTGTCAGCACGTCTCTGCTCCGGGCTGGGCATGTGGCTGGCAGAGCGACAGCGACCTCACTCCAGGGATTCCTGCACAGCCTCTTCCTGACCTTTGGGCTCTACAGATACAAATAGGAGAAAATAAGCGCTCTGCTTGGCATTCCCAAGTCTCGCAGCAAGCTGCATGCAATCGTGGATGCTCAGGAAACACGTGGTTTTAGATTGGTTTGATGTAACAAACAGAATGTTAATTGTCTGCTTCATTTTTTGATCTACTTACTCCAAAACAGCATTGAGTCAAGAATATCTTTTTCTTCCATTTTTCTAGGAAAAAGAAGGTCGAAGTCTGGATTTAAGTAGTGGATTGGTGGTGACTTCATTAAACAAGTCATCAATATCCTCCTCCTAGAACAGTTTATGCGGTACTTTCCTTCTCCAGATGAGTGCTGCTGCTTTCATTTGGACATGAAAACACTAAAGCTCACAAAAATCAAGGTGCTTTTACCTGATAAAAACTCATTCACCCTCCAGACTGTACCTTCAGAGGCCTGAGTGTGAAAACATCTGTTTGTGAGTTCTCATTGGTATTCAGTCACCGCAGAAGAAGAAATTTCCCACTCTACCAGTTACTGTTTTTAATAAATATGTACTATTTGTACACCACCTGTTGTGCATGCTGAGAAGCCCAGCACGCTGAGAGGACAATAAACAGGCTTGTCCTTGTGTTATTTGGGTTGGGATCTTCACCATCTCCCCAGAACACACAACTTTTCAGAATCAAGACATCAGTGTAAAAAGAACATGTCCCTCCAGCTCTTGGAAGGGCGGGTGCGAATACGTAACTTCCGAGTTCTGCCCTGTCAGTATTTTCTTGTTGCTTTCTTGTTTGGTTGTTGTTTAGGTTTTTTTTTAAATACTCTAATACGATCTTAAATGCTCCAGCTTTCTAATGGAAGAATATGTTTTAATATGTAGATATTCTCGCATGAGACTGTCTCTCCACTCTGACAATCGATACCTTATGTGTGGAAATCTCTCTGCTCTCTGGCTTTTCTAAGTTTCACCCTTAATGTGCAACGTTCTCCAATTCACTTTTGTTCTACGTTGGGAAAAATAACCACAATAAATCTAAAGCTGGCCTAGGTATGCAATTTTTTCCTTTTTTTTTGTCAGTGGCACGGCTGTGTTAGTTGTAGTGATATAACCTTGGCAGGAGGTTGGGCACAACCACGTTTCCCACCGTGTCACGTACTGCTCTAAATCACATGCTGGTTAAAAGGTGTGGGTTTGCTATTAAATTGTTAGCAGCATCAGGGCAGCGATGCATTCCTCAGCAGCCCTTGGAAAACAAAGGAGTGGTGTCTGGTGGAACTGTAGCCATGAGCCTGTTGCAAAACCCCAGGTGCATCTCTCTTGGTGTCTGGAATTAAACTGCTTTTGGAGCTACAGGACCCTTGGTTCTTCTGCCGTTCAGACGCGTTCATCTGTCGCTTAATGACGTGCTGAGCAACGCGGGCACCTGTGTAAAAGCCTAAGAGTAGATGGAAATGCAGAACCCTCTGCTCTGTCCCACAGCAGGGATGATGTCCTTCAACAGCGGTGAAGGTGCTGGTTGGTGGCTGTCGCCTGATGAGAACATCCCTAGAGAGAGCAAAATTATGGTCGGGCGGTAACAAATTTTTGTTTGTGGACAAAAAATGTCTTACAAGAACAAACGAGATGAAACCCTGTTCCTAGTGATGTCTGAGAGTGATTTCAGCAATACCAGGGTTGTGTTCTTCAGCTGAAATACCGGTGGAGACTCCAACCAAAATAAACCATACTTACACTGCAAAATGTGATAAAATTAAACAAGTTTGCAGACAGACCATAACGGCTTTTTAAAGGCTGGCTGACGGTGCTGAGTGTAGTATCCTGGTACTTTGTGTATACCAAATTGATGAGTGCTGCAGTAATTAATCTTACTAGGTTTCTGGTATGTTGGGCTCACGGCTCTGCAGTTTCTTGTCTAGAATTATTCTAGTATGTTGAAATCTCCTTGGGAAGTGCACACAGCCTCATACACACTTCCTTTAAAAAAAAAAAAAAAAAAAAAAAACCCAAAAAAACCCTGACAGACCCCAAGCAAACTATTCTTTCAGAATTTTTTTTTTAATCATCTCCTTCAATGAATTGATGCTTGTTAGATCTGAATGATAAAAGCCAGAAGCTGAAGCAAAATTAAAAGGTGCTCTGGTGTGTGCGAATGGGTGGCGAGCTGAGATGATGCTCCAAGGTGGTTATTCCCAGAAAAATAATTATTAGAACTATTATTGGGTCATGTTTTTAATAGAAACCAGATGCGGCTGCCCTGCGAATCCTGAGGCTGACACCGAGGAAATACAAGGCTTAAATCTGGTTGTTTTTTCTGTTGTCAGTGTACATAGTGGAGTTCTGTTAACTCCTCCCTCTTTATATAACGTTGACTTTTTAACGTCAGGAACAGATTTTATCAACTTGTAAAAGAATAGTATTGACATTGTTTTAATTGTTAATTGTTGAGCTAAAAGAATTATTTGCAGCCAAAACTAAAAACATCCCTGTCATTTTTTTTTTTTTTACTGGACAAAGCTTTCATTCTTTACCTATTACAACTGTTTCAATTAACTGCTTAAATTAATGGCTGTATAAGCAAACAGTTAGTTATATTCTGAAGGAAGCTCTGTTGGATTTGAAGCAAGGTCTCCTGTAATTTCAAAGGCTACGAGGCATGGTTGGGGATGAATTCTTATTTGGATGGGGATCTGTGTCTCAGTCTTTCCTGTGGTTCCTCTCGTGCCGCTCTCCTCTGCCCGTGCTCTCTCAGCTGCTTTTCCCAGGGTAACTCATCCCGGCCTCCGTGCATTTTCCATCAGGCAGAGGGGCTTTTTAAGGAGGTTAAATTCATCTATGTAATGGACTATCTGTGGGCAAGTCTGACTTTGCATCAGAAGAGTTTTAAGACTGCCGTAACAATGCCAGAAGAGGCTAATTTTCTTAATGTTACTGATTTTTATATATATATATATATTCATAGTTGTGGAGACCTGACCTTTGATTCAGCTCACTGACAACCAAACGCAGGCAGATTGGCCCAAGGCTTACATTTTATCCCCTCCTTTTCAGTTCACACCGTCCTCTGCTGAGGTTAAATTTCCCATCCCTTGTAGACAAGCTGTTAAAACTTTTCCCGTGCAGAGCATGCAGTAAATTTTGCCGTGTGGCTCCCTGGGCACCAGCTGTCCTGCGCAGAAATATCCGGAAATAAATTGAACCCATTTCACCTCTTTTTATTTGTTTGTGCAAGGAGGGTGTGAAGGAAAATGTTTCTGTGTTGGGCTGGGACCCACTTCTAAGTTCTGCTAAGTGCCAACCCGTGTCCCCAAGAAATAAGAGGTGGATTTGTCGTCTGCAGAGTGGTTTGGCATCCTCCTGAGGCACCGACCGTGCCCTGCCATGTGTCCTGCCCTCTCACCAGACAGAGATTTTACTGACAGACTCCACTACTGTTATTTAGCACGATTTTTATTTAAAGCATAAAATTGGTGCTTCCATTTTTAGAAATCAATACAGGGAGAGTTTAGATGTTTTCCTTTGCTTAGCCTACATCCCCCAGCTGTGCTGCTGTGTATCTGTCACGTTAATTGCAATTACAGTGTAGCTGCAAATGGCCAGAGACAGGAGCCTGGGCTTGGTTTAGTGAATTTTAGTACTGGAGTGTGCGAACCCCCTCAGCAGAGCTGCTCCAGCGAGGATCTGGATGAACCCCAGGGACGAGCAGAAGCCTCAGCCTCTAACGAGTCCGTGTCCTCCCGGCGAGGCTGTGGGTGATGGTGCTGGTGGGTTGGTGCTGTGGGCATGTCAGCTGGAAGCATCATCAGAGATCCCAGAGCAGCATCCACGCCACCCGGTACTGACCATTGCTGCCAGCGCAGGCTGGTCCCAGAATGAGACCTGGTGGCCCACGAGGCTCCGAGCCATGGAGCCCGGCATGAGCTGACCCAGGGTGGGCTTTGCTGTCTGCTCCTTACGCGTGGTCAGTCACTTGGCTGGTGGCCGCGTTGCTGCCAAGCCCTTTCCAGGCGCGGAAGCTGAAGAAGGTGCTCACCCCGTAGGCGATCATTGTGAGGCAGGCGAAGAACTGGAAGAGGAGCACACCTCTTAAGTGCGGTGGCCACCCCAGCCAGCCCCGTGGCCCTCATCTCCCCACTGCTACTTACGGACGCCGTGGCTCTCCGGTTGTAGTCCCACTGCCGCCAGGACGTAGGCTGGACGGCAGCTGCGCACGTTACGAAGGCGGTGACATACAGGACGGTGGCTGCAATGTTGAAGATCATCAGCTGGGGAAGGCAAAGAGGAGGTCGTGAGGTCTGGGCTCAGACTCCTGCGTGCTGGGGTGAGCAAAAGGTTCAGTTTCACGTTCCTTCCTCTTCCCCAGGAAAACCAGACGAAAAGGATCCAGCCCCTCACACTGGGACCAAGCCTCAAGTTAACATCTCATTAGATGCACCCAAGGCTGCACAGGGAAGTTTCACCCCACAACTGCAGCGGTGATGCTGTGGCTGTAACTTTCTGGATTGAAAAATTTCTAAGCAATTGAGTGACAGAATGAAACAAAATCCTTGTGCAAAGCGTGGGGGAGTCTGTTCCATCAGCCCAGGAAAGCCTGAAGCCCTGGTCCTCTTGGAACCTCTCCCCAGGATGCTTCCCCTCTTCACTCCCTCTCAGCTACGTACCACAAGCGGCCAGGGGATCACATAGAACTTCAGCTGAAGCTGGAGAAGATAAGCCACGAGGAAAAGGACTGTTAATATCCAGAAGAAGATGGACACGAACATCACCCAGCCGTATGCTGCGTGGAGGTAGTACGTCGTGTCGGCGATGAGAGCCCACACCAGTAAGCCGAGCACCTGGGGGTGAACACAGGGAAAGTGTTCAGGTGGTGGTTCCTGCAGGTGGAAAGTGGAGCATCACCCATGAGCCCAGGCTCACTGTCACCTATGGCCGTTGTGTCACCCTAGCTCCGGCAAAGCAGGGAACGCAAGAGCCGCAGAGCAGCCTCCTGGGGACAGCTCAGGATGGGCTGCCCACCTGGGACCCTCGTTTCTCAGGGATGGGCTTGTACCCAGGAGCCGGTACAGGGGTGTCCTGCAAGGCAGGACAGGTGCAACCTAAGCATCCTCATCACCAAAGGTCCCTTCTCAGCCAAGAAGCCCCCATGCCCAGGTGCAGGCACCCCTCTGTGCAGGTGCTGGCTCAGTGTTAGGGACATCTCATGGGCTGGATGAGAGCTGGACGCGGCAGCTCCCAGGGGTCCAGCTCAGCATTGGCCTCCCCCTGGTGCAGCATCATTTAGAAAAGAGAAAGCAAGTTCTCAGCTTCTCTCCATGGCTCGGTTAGGTCTGGTCTGGTTTATATCTCCTGTAGGTACACCTTCTAGGGCTCACCTTTCCCTGTTCAGCAGGTTTAGCTGCATAGCAATCGCAGCACCATGTGCCTGCAGAGCAATCCACAAAAAAAAAAAAAAAACAGGTAGGGGAATCTGTTTCTGGGTCTGCTCAAGGACAAATAAGCAGATCCAGGGCAAAGCCATTTTCTGCCCTCCCTGTAGCCCCCCCCAGCACAGCCGCAGCGCAGAGTCGGTGGCAGGGAGCAGGTCCCTGGCAGGCAGGGATGGAAGAGCCCAGCCTGAGTGCCTTTTAATTTATTCTTATTATTTCTCTTTCCCCTCCCTGTGCTGTGTCCACCCCTGACGTGGACTCTGGAGGAGATGCTGCCCTGCTTTGCCTGCAGCAATGGGGCCAGGGAGCAGCTGCCTTCTCCACACCCCCCCTCCCCAGGGAACTTCCCTGGAGCAGTAAGTCTGTACATCATACATTTTTATTTAGAAACCCCCTACCCCATGATGGAGCAAGCAGAGGATGAGACACCAGCACATAGTGGTGGGGCCTGGAAAAAGAAAGGCTGTTGCAAAGCAAAGGGTGCTTTCTATGATTTGCCCTGTTTGTTCTGCAGCTCCAACCACAGCCTGTGCACCGGGAGATGGAGATGGGGCTCTGGCAGCCGGTGGGGTGCTCTGCTTCACCCTCCATCACCACCTCCCAGCTGGGTGAGAGCAAAACAGGGAGCCTTCCCACCACTTCCTGAGGGGAGCAAGGAGGCTCCAGCCCTGCACCCTCCACGTTTCCCAGTGCAACCAAATGCCCCGAGGAGAAGTCCATGGCAGGGCTGGGGTGTGAATGTGCTCCAGATGCAGCCACGACATATTCTGGTTCCCACCTGGGGTTGGGATCTCTTTGGGCAGAGCCAGGTGAAGCCACAGCACCACCCGGCTTCTGTGCTCACCTCCGCTTTGGCAGGGGAACAGCGGAGTTGTCTCCCACCGGTGGGGAGGAGAAGGGCTCCTTGGAAAAGCCGCTCTGCTCCTGCGTGAGCAGGCATCGCCCATTGTCACTGAAGAAACACAACAGCCTTTGTCCTGCCCCAGTACAACGCCCTGGTGTTGGGCTGCCCCGACAAAGCCTCCTTGTCTCTCATGTCCATTTCTAACACTCGTGATCGCAAAACATGCGTTGGGAGAAACATGTGGAGGAAAAAGCCTGGTGTGCTCCAGCAGCATGTATGAGCTGCCCTACTCTGGCTACGGGGGGAGAGGAGCAGGAACCCTCAGGAGAGAGGTTCTGGGGAGCAGTGGGGCTTGGTGGATGGAGCCAGGTGAGCGTGTTTAATGGGACGGCTCCAGCAATGGGCTGGAGAGGTGGGACCGGGTGTGGGGTTGAAGGGTCCCATCCACTGATCTTGGCTCTGTCTTTCTTCCCTGATGCTCCTGCAAGACACCCCCTAGCAGCATCCTTCCCTAACCTTTCCTCGAGCATCTGCTCCGTGTCACAACCAGCTCAGCCATGCCCAGAGGACAAAATCTGGAGCACGGAGCCAGTTCTATGCCAGATGATTATGCAGGTATTATTAGATATAAGGAAGAAGTTCAGTTCTTTACTCTGAGGGTGGTGACACCCTGGCCCAGGTTGCCAGAGAGAGGTGGTAGGTGCCCCATCCCTGGAAACATTCCCGGCCAGGTTGGATGGGGCTCTGAGCAACCTGGTCTGGTTGAAGATGTTTCTTTAAAGACTCCTTCCCACCCAAACCATTCTATGATTGTTCCATAGTGGCTGCTCAGGGCATGTCCTGCTGCTGCACCCCACAGCGCTGCCCTGGGGAGAGGGGATGAGCAAAGAGGCTCCCCCCAGCAGTGGGGCAGCAACACGGGCAGACACCAGGGGAGGTCAGGGGTGGCCCCATGCGCAGCCAAACTCCCACCCCTACACGCACACCTTGCACTCGAGGTCCCAGGGCAGAGCAGCAGCAGGAGGTTATTCTGTGGTCACCTCTGATGCTGAAGCAATGGAGAGCTGCTGCTGCTGCCTGGTTTTGATGGTGCAAAGACTTTTGGGCTTGTTTGAGAGCGGCCACTAAAGCCTGGCTGCCAAGGAGGGCAACCTGGAGGGCTGAGTCCTGTGGGCACCCCAGGAGCAACCCCAACACACCTCGGCAAGGGCCACCATGCTCCTCTATGGAGCATGCCCGGATCCTGCCAGGATGGGACCCACGGGCTGGTGCCCTGCAGGGATGCCCGAGCAGATGGGTCCATGCCCGGCACTGGGAGCTACACCGAGTTACAACAGGGAAAATGCGTGGAGAGAGGCGGCCAAATGTTCCTCTGGCTTCCGAGAGGGAAGGAGGAGGAGGGGTGGGGGAGGCGAGGGGGCTTCAGGATGTCTGCTCAGGGTTAGAGGTTAATTAGGGTCCGAGAGCGCGGATGGGGCAGAGGGGGCAGCCCAAGGGAAGCCAAGCTGCTTCCACCCAGCGGGAGAAGACAAGCGCTCGGGGTGCGGGATGCGCTCCCGCAGCCGAACCCCCCCCTGCGCCCCCTCCCCGGTACTCACGGCCTGGGCGACCATCAGCCCCCCGAGGGGCGAGAGAAGGAAAGCGCCGTCCAGGACGGGCAGGGCGGCGGAGGGGCCCGGGGAGCCGCTGCGGGACCGCGGGG